TTCGTGCCTGCGGCGTGTGAGGTACAGGCTGATCTTGAAGCCCGACAACACCGCGAAGGTGGAGATCGACGGCGAGAAGATCTACGAGGGCTCCTTGAAGGAGGACTGGGAGCTCTTGGCCCCCAAGGAGATCAAGGATCCCGATGACAAGAAGCCCAGTGACTGGGTTGATGACAGCATGATGGACGACCCGGAGGACAAGAAGCCGGACGGCTGGGTGGAGGAGAAGAAGATCGTGGATGCCAAGGCCACTAAGCCTGACGACTGGGATGACGAGGAGGACGGCGAGTGGGAGGCACCCGTGATCGACAACCCCGAGTACAAGGGCGAGTGGACCGTGAAGCGAATCTCCAACCCTGCCTACAAGGGCTTCTGGGAGGCCAAGAAGATCGCCAACCCGGAGTACGTCGATGACGACAACCTGTACAAGTACGATGACTTCGGCTTCATCGGCTTTGACTTGTGGCAGGTCAAGGGCAACACCATCTTCGACAACGTCATCATCACCGACGATGCAACTTGGCTCAACCCGATCCTCCCAGGCACCTTAGGACCGCTGTAAGAAAACAGTCCACTCCAGGTGGCCCTTTCCGTTCGCTTCCCTTCGACCGCACGAAACCTGAACCTGAACACTAAAGCCTGAAACTTACGAAAACACCCAAAATCCAAACCCTAAGCTCTTAGTCAACCCTAAACCCTAAATCCCTAACCCCTAAATCCTACACCCCGAAGCCCTGAACCCTGAACCCTAAACCGTCCCTCCTTCGTTACCCCTCCCCGGCGAGAGGAGCCTAGGTCCACCATTCAGAATATTCATAATCGTGGTTTTTTATGACATAGTACAGCAGGGGTGGGGGGAGGGGCTGATGGCGACATGGTCTTCATGCCTCCTTTGGACTAAGGTCTTTTGGATTTCTTGGGTTTTAGGACTGGGCTTGCACTGGTCTTTGCGACTTTGGGCTTGCGCTGCCTGCACTGCAACGGTCTTTACGACTTTGGGCTTGCACCGCCAGGGTCTGGTGGTTTAGAGTTAGTATTGGGTGTTTGGACGTTGGGCTTGTACTGCCAACGTCTTGTGGTTCAGGGTTGAGGGTTTTGGGTTTTAGGACTTTGGGCTTGCGCGACAACGGTCTTTGCGAGACCGAGCCCATTTTAGGCGGCAGCTATAGAGAAAGCCGCTGCTGCGGACTCGCACTCGCCAAAAGCACCATGATGATGATGATGATCATCATCATCATCAACATTGTCAACCCCAAAACCCTAAACCCCAAGCCAGCTACTGGAGTTAGGTCAAGGAGGCTGATGCCTTCGTGGAGAAGTGGAAGGCCCTCAGCGAAGTGGAGAAGGCAAGGCACCAGAAGATGGGAGGGTTTAGGATTTTAGAATGGTTTAGAGTACGGTTTTGGGGGACTCAGATTTCAGAATTTTAAGGCGCCGGGGTCGAGGATTTCAGGTTTGGGGCTTGAGTGCTTTCGGGTTTAGGGCTTTAGGGCTGGGGGCTTTTAGGATTTCAGGGCTGCGGCGAATTGCAACTGCCATCCCCGAACTCTGAGCGCCCAGCTCCGTCAACTCCTCGAACCTAAACCCTGAACCCTAAACCCTAAACCCTAAACCCTAAACCCTAAAACCTAAACCCTGAACCCTAAACCCTAAACCCTAAACCGCAAAACCGCTACACCCTGAAACCTTGTGACTGAAGCCCTAAACCCTGGACCCTAAACCCCTGAACCCTTAAAATCCCGAACCCGGGGGCCCTAAAGCCAGACCTAAACAAAGCTAGACCTAAACACTGCCTTGATCTGCCAAAATCTACCATATTTGCAGTTCTCTAAACTGAGATCCCTTTGAGCTTTGGGGTCCTTTTTATACGGGTGCCGTACCATGTTGGGGACCTAAAAGAGGGACCCTAATTTAGAGAACTACCCATATGTAGGGTCCCTATAGATTCTGTATTAGGATGAGAACCCTGCAAAAAATGGGCTATGCTAGACAACTCCAGTCTGGACCTGGAAACCCTCGTACCCCGACCCGGTCGCTAGGCCTTATCAACCCAAAGCCCTAGAAAGCATACTGATCGACCCTAAATCCGACACCGAAACACCCTAAACCCTAAACCCTAAACCCTAAGCCGTCCCTTATGAATTCTAAGTTTAACAAACCCTGAACCCTGCAACTTCAACTCTAAGTGGGCTCTCAGGCCTTCCTCAAAGCCCTGAGCCTTTTAAACCCCGAGAAAGGCAAAGAAGAAAGAGGAGGATGACAAGAAGGCTGAGGCCGTTCCGGTTTACGGCTGAGGGTTTCGGGCTTGGGGTGTAGGGTATTTTGGGATTTAGAACTTAGGGGTTTAGCTAGGGTTTAGGGTTTTAGGATTTAGAATTGGGGTTTTTGGGTTTGGGATTTAGGGCTTAGGCAGCGTGGACTCCGCTTGGCTTAGTGGGTTTACTTCAGTGCTCTTCGGAACTGTGCTTTATTATATAACAAAACTCCACGTGGTTCAAGAAGTATTGGTATATTGTGGTTCTCAGGGCGCTTAAGTTTAGGCTTGGAGGGAGGGTTTGGGGTTGAAGCTTTTGGGGTTTGGGATTGAAGCTTTTTGTAGGCTTTAGCGTTTAGGGTTTAGGGTTAGCCATTTCGAGTGTAGGGTTTGGGGCCAGGGTCCGCCGCGAGAGGCCGGCTTGGGTTGACAGTCGAGGGTGAGTGTAAAAAACGGGCCTTAACAATTAGAATAGGGTTTGGGGTATACTATACTATAATTATAGAATAAGGGTCCCCCCCCAAAAAAAAACAAAAAGACAAAAAAAACCTATTCTAAGTATTAAGGCCATACGTTAGGTTTCAGGGTTTAGGGTTTCGGGCCGGGTAAGCTCCAAGCCCGAAGCCCTCGCAAAGCCTTTAAAAACACCACCTCAAAGTCCCAAACTCTGAAACTTGAATTTGTCATTCATAGTTTAGGGTTTATAGGGTTTAGAGAATTTTTCATTCATAGCTTCCTGAAATACTGGTCATCAACGGCTGACAATGCGGACCACAACCTCCGCAGCATCTTCTCTGGCATTCCTTCTCCTTACCACAAGGCCAAGCCCAGGCAAGAGACACCGAAACCCTAAACCCCTCAACGCCTCAACCTCTAGGCCCTAAATCCGAAAGCCTTGAGCACTACACCCAAAACCCTAAACCCATAAAACCCAAAACCCCAAAAAACCTAAAATCCCTAAATCCCTAAAACCCAAAACCCCAAAACCCCAAAACCCCTAAAACCCCAAAACCCTTGAAACCCCAAAACCCTAAACCCCTAAAACCCTAAGCCCCAAAAGCCCTAAAACCCTAAAGCCCTCGAACCCCTCAGCCCTGGAAGCGCGGACTTTGAGAGGAGGCCAAGAGTGCTGCAGCCTCCAAGGACGACGATGATGACGATGACACCCGGCGGTCAAACGGTTAGGATTTCGGGTTTCGGGTTTCGGGTTTAGGGTTTAGGGCTTAGGGTTTCGGGTTTAGCGTTTAGGGTTTAGGGTTAGGGTTCAGGGTTGTACGGTTTGGTGTCTTTGGGGTTTTGGTTTTAAGTGTGTACGGTCTCGGGTTCAAGGTGTTGATTTGAAGGTTGTTTTTGTTGGTTTAGGGTGCAGAGTCTATTTTGGGGGGGCCTAAATAATTACCAACACTATTTTGGGGGTTTCTTATTATAAGTAGAGCATAAAGGGCCCAAAAAACCCTGTTCTAATTATTCAAGCCCCGAGATTCGGTATCAGAGGTTTAGGGGTTGCAACCCTCAACCCCAAACCCTGCAACCCTGGGCCCTCCACCCTGGAACCCTTACAGTTTAGGGTTTAGGGTCTAGGGCCTTTAATATCAACTGAGCCAAGAACCTGCAAACAACACCGAACAAAGAACACACACACCCGCGCAAGCAGGAACAACCTTTCTGCAGCTGACAAGTCTTTCGAGACAAAGTTCCTGTGCCCTGAAACCCTAACCCGTTCATAGGGATATAGGGTCTAGGCAAGGCTGAGCATTTCTCGGGATTCTCTCTCCTTGGAGGCCCCCAATGATGTCTAGCCACTTGAGTTCCGGAAGCCGGGTTAGCTGGATTGTCGCTCGCTTGCTGCTGGGTGGCATTGTAGGGTTTATGCTTTCCTAAACCCTAAACCCTAAACCCTAAACCCTGCTAGTTTGTTGTCAGGGCCTGGGATCGATTGGAGGCTCAAGACCTTTGCAAAGCCGCCGTGGTCGAAGGTTTGGTGAAGTCCGAATGTCGAAACCTCGGGTGTGGGAGTGGCTTAGGGTGGACCCTGAACTTCAAACCTTAAACCGGTTTAGGGTTAAGGGTTAAGGGTTATGGGTTTAGGGTTTAGGGTTTAGGATTAAGGCTTAAGGGTTTAGGGTTTAGGGTTTAGGGTTTAGGCTTCAGGGTTCTCAGGACGACAAGGAAGAGGAGGACTAAGCAGAGCCGACCAGCCGCTCGGATGCAATGGGCGACTTGAGCGTCTCGGATTCGTCGGGGGGTTTAGGGTTTAGGGGTTTAGGGGTTTAGAGTTTAGGGTTTAGGGTTTAGGGGTTTAGAGTTTAGGGTTTAGGGGCATTAGCAACCCAGGTCCTGCCTGAAGAAGAGGCCGCCTATAGATACTAAAGCATACTGCTTTTTGTTAGTAGCCTTACTTTGGCTTTGTTGGTGATCCTAACGGTCAATGCCCTCAAGAAGAGGCTGCCTGGACACAGAATTGTAATTTTTTGGTTAGTTACCTTACTTGATTGCTTTTTTTGGATCCTAAGCATTGCCCCAGGTATGCCGCTGAAGCGTTGACCTCGAAGTGTGGAGCCTCTGCTGGATTTGTGTTTAGTCTTGGCTTAGCCCCTGGGGATTTCGATATGTTTATGGCTTAGGGTTTAGGGCTTAGGGGTTTTTGGGGTTGCGGCAGCAACGGTTCAGGGTCTTGGAACCTTGGGATTCAGGTACCTCTGAGCTTTCCGGACCATAGGGGGCCGATGAAAGGCTGAACAAGCACCCTAAACCCTAAACCCTGAACCCCAAATCGGGGCTTCACACAGTGCGGACATCGTGCAAGGACTGCATGCCGTTTGGTGAAGTAAACGTGTTCTCAAGCCTGGACTTTGGTTTACCCAGGCTTACCGCATCCGCACGGTGTGGGTTTCATGGCTTCCGGGGGCTAGGGACTGTTGGGTTTTGGGTTTAGGGCTTGCAGTATATTATAGCGCTTGGACAGAAGGGTTTGAGGTCTCGTTTTTCACAGCCTGAGCTCCCCGGGGACTCAGGACCGCCAGACGTGCGGAGGAAGCAGGTCCAGACGAAAGTCGTGGAACAGCATCCCGATCGGGTGCCCCATAGGGCCCTCCCCCGAAGCCTGAAGCCTAACCTTACACCCTGAACCCAAGTAGTAGCCGAAGCCCTTTCCCCCAGCCAAACAAGCATACCACACCCTAAACCCAAACCCCCATTGAAAACCCTAGACCCCAAGCCCTCATCCATAGCCCTAAACACCCTACCCCCCTGATTGCTTTGAGGGGCTTCGCGGTCTCTCACACCTTATCTTCACCTAGAACCCCAAACCACTAACCCTGAACGGCCGCAAGGCTCGCAGAACACTAGTGAAATAGCCTGAAGCAGTCGTAGCACAGCTTCTCTTGAGTTGGTAGCACGCGTTGCCCTTACTGCATGAGATGCCCAAGCCATGGTGTTTAACTGTTTAACCATTTCATTTATACGTTCTATCAGCACATGTGCTGGGAACCTGAATCCCTGAAGCCTCAACCCAAGCTGAACCTTACACCCCTAAACCCCTAAAATGAGCTTTGCACCCTGCGCCTTGGGCTACGCCCAGTGCCCTCAAACCCTGGAACTCTTTACCCGGTGGAAGCCTCAGGAGCCTCCTGTCGAAGCCCTAAGCCCGAAAATGGCAGCCTGAATTCAATCCCAAGCCCCAGACCCCTAGCCCCAAACCCTAAAACCCTAAACCCTAAGCCCTAAACCCTAAAACCCTAAAACCCCAAAGCCCTAAACCCCAAACCCTCAATCCTAAAAGCCCTAAAAACCCTAAACCCTGAACCCACCACTTTTGTGGAACCGGCCCCGATCGGGCGCGTAGAAGGGCGACTCCCGGCCCCTTTGCATTGAAAGCTCAGGGCTTTGGATGGAGACTAAGAATTCGTATAAGGTTCCTTTAAAGAGTGTCTACAAGGAGTATTATGAGGGTGGTCGTGGGAGTAGGAGGAGAGGAGTAGTAGTAGCAGTCGTCGTCGTATGGAGTCGAATTAGGAGTAAGAGTAGGAGTAGGAGTAGTAGCAGTAGCAACAGCGGCAGCACTGAGTACCGCAGTATACTGATGTTTGTGGCATCTCCAGGATGACCGGAACCCTAAACCCTAAACCCAAACCCCAAAACCCTAAACCCAAAACCCTGAACCCAAAACCCTAAACCCTGAACCCTGGACCCCTAAACCCTGGGAGCTTTACTTTTTGCGATTTCGGTGTTGGATTTGAGGTTCTGGAGCTTAGGGGATCTGGTGTTCCCAGGCCCTGTCCGGGGGAGAGTTCAGCAGTTTGGGACTTGTTTATAGGGGTTTAGGGTTTAGGGCTCTGGGTTTAGGGTTCAGGGTTTAGAGTTCAGGGTTTACGGTTTAGGGTTCAGGGTTTAGGGTTTTGGGGTAACTGTTTCAGGCAAGCAGTCCCTGATACCCATTTTACTTGTGAGTGCCCGATGTTTCTGCTTATCGTTGATGAGTGTTGGTTGGCGGGACTTCGTGTTCTGTTGCACTGTCAGTAACTTATTGATGCATCTCTAGAAAGGCTGTTGCCCTGAGCTTTCACCATAGCTTAGGCAGACAAAGATCACAGAAAAACCCTGCAGCTGCAAGTTGCGCAGCTGGCACAAACCATCGCGCCGAAGAAAACATGCGGCTGGCTTGGTCCGAGCTGGAGAGTGGGGGAGAGTTGGGCTTCAGATGCCTTGGAAACCATGTCTACCGCCCGGACACCCCCTTGAAACTCGAAACAATATCAGCGCCAGAAGTAGCTGCTAGCGCCGGATTCTTTCTAAGGGGATGGGGGATTCCGAATGATCGACTGTGCTGTCCCGGAACCTCATCCGCACCCCAACGGTAAGCCGTCAAGACTTGAACCACAGCTACATCCTAAACACCCTAGACCCAGAAGCCCTCAACCCCGAAAAAACTAAAAGGTCAGCCTTGAAACCACTTTAGAGCTTCTAAGTGAAGCAGGGCCAGGACCCCTTCAGCCTAAACCTTTAAACTTGAAAGCTCCACAGCCCAAAACCTTACAACCCTTCACTCTAGATCACAGCGGCTTTAAGCCGGTTACACCCTGAACCCTACATGTATGGTCTGAATGGTCAACACCATGCCTGAGGGTATCGAGCATATCTCCAATTAGAAACCAGAGTCTGCTTAATTTTTGAGGCCTCTAGGAGTTAAGTCGGAATATATTAAATCCTGAAGCCACAAAACGGAACATCTTGCACAAGCTTTTTGTTGGCCTGTGTAAACTCCGATTATAAGCCCTCCAAAACCTTCCAGACCCTGTATAGAACGCCACAGAAACCCTAAACCCTAAACCTGCGCAGCTTGGGCTTCCAGTTTTGTATCTCCTCGTAGCTTCCCGTTGCTTTCACGATGCGATGCACAGCACTCTGCCTGAGCTCTCTGGCCGTGGCCAGCGGAAAGGCCCCCCGAATATTCCAAGGAGGGAAGATGGTTTGGGGGACGAAGAGCCCTTGAGGGAGGCCCCAAGGCCTGAATCCCCAAACCCTGCGGGTTTAGGGCTTTTGGGATTGGGGGCGCTATAGCCCAACAGAAGCCTTAGCCTCTCTCTCTGGCTACTATCTATCTATCTATCTATCTATCTATCTATCTATCTATATATATATGCATATATGTATATGTATATGTATGCTATAGGATTAGGCAGCGTCCAGGGCGGGTTGAGAGTTTTGGTTTTCAGGGTCGTAAAGCTTACACCTCTAAACCTTATGGGCTTCGGCTTTAGAGTTTAGATCATTGTTGACATAGAAGGGTTCGGGCTTGGAGCTTGTCTTGATCAATGTCAGAGATCTTCTGGTCACTTTTGGTGGTGTGGGGGCCCCCTGCAATTTGATGCGGGAGCCAACCCTGAACCCTAGACCAGCCTATAGCCATAGGCGGGATGCTTCTTTCCCAAAGCCCTAAACCCAAAACCCTAAACCCGATGGAGGTCGTTGAGGAATCAGCTGCGACGTGTACTTTGGATTCGGGCTTCCCGTTTTGCAGTTGACATCGCAGCGGTGTCTGCGTTACATCGAGCAGTCATGGCTTAAGACCGAAGTTCTTTAGCGTTCAGGTCTCTTTATTGGTGGTTTTGTGGTTTGCGGGGTTCTAGCATGTCAAGCGCATATCTACAGTGCGTGAGAAGGACCCAAGAAGACAGGCTCCGAGGGCTATGGGGTTTGAGGCTTGAGGCTTAGGGTTTAGGGGTTTAGGATTTACGGTTTAGGGTTTAGGGTTTCGTAAGGCTTAGGGGTTTAGGTTTAGGGTTTGGGCAAGAATCCCAGTACCTGTCGCCCCACAGCCCTACGGACATCATCGTAAGTAAAGGAAAACTGAAATTGCAGCTTTGTGTTTGGGGCTACGGGTAGGGTTTAGGGGCCATCTCTACAGTATACTACACTTGCATCCCGAAATCCTTCCACAGCTTCTGCTCTTTATGCGATCTCCACTCTATCTATCTATCTATCTATCTATCTATCTATATATATATATATACACATGTATATACACACACATACTTTTGCCCTCCCTAAGCCCCTAAACCCTAAACCCTGACCACGAGGTCTACTTCTCCGAGACTTTCGGCGACGGCTGGGAGTGCCTGACATGCACTGGCTGACGGGAACATCCCAGAGAGCCCAATATCCCTTAATTAAGGAATATACCTTAAATCATGATATTCAGACCCCTATAATTTAAGGTATATTCCTTAATTAAATTAAGTAAGGGGTAATACCCGCAAGCTCGTCTGCTCTAGTCAAATTCTTCGGGCCCTGGCTGTCCTTTCAGTAGGGAGTTTAGTGCTTTATTTAGGGTTAAGGGTTTAGGATTTAGGGTTTGGGGTTTGGGGAACATAGCAGGACCCTGTCGGGGCCCATCCATCAATCAACCCCCGTGGCTTGATTGCGGATTGTACGGTCTACCTGGACCTGGACGAGTGTTGGGCGACTATGTTACCTACTTTTGGGGCTTCGGGTAGGGTTTAGGCCTCAAGGGGTTTCTTAAGACTAGGGATGCCCTTCTCATACGGGGACGATTATCTGGTGCTCAGCGCCCGGCCGTATCTGAAGCTCCACAGTGGCAGGGCGTTTAGTTACTCCACCTGTAGTCTCCGTTGTAGTTAGTCTTTTTGGGTTGCCTTGCTTAGGATCCTCAATTTTAAAACAGG